AAGGTTCGAGAAGTAAAAACAGTTGTGTGGATAAAGTTGTCTATACGTACAGTTCAAGCTTCCACTCGCAGCTGTTGCTGCTCAAATCAGCTTCAGTTTGAAATAAACGCTTCAACAGATTTGCCACAATGAAGGGGCCAAAACTGGACCCTCCAGGGAACACCACTTTTGATTTCAAGAGGGTCCACTGTCTGATCCTTTTTAAACACGTTTCCTTTGCACGGGGGTCCAAAACTGGACCCTCAACAGATTGAATCCGGTGCCTCCTTGGAGGGCACAAAACTCTGAGCGGAAATGTCGCTCTGAGGCTCGGTCCTGAAATTGGTATAAACAAAGCAAACTAATTAAAAACTCAGCATGAAACGCAGTGGTCCCATCGATACTATACATTGGCAAATCAACACATCACCAGAACAAAAAACCGGCGAAAAACGACAGACGACCCGCAAATCCCCCAGCCAGATTTGCGTTTCGCCACAGGAAGCAAAAGCGAAACAACAAAAGAAACGGGGCCAGGGCCCAACACAAAACCAAAAACACGGCCGATTTGCCAAAGGACACAGAGGGAGGTTCCCACCGTGTCACAAAAACATGCAGAACTGAAATTATTTGTGTACATCATCAGTGGCTAAGCAGACAAAGTGTTATAATTGCGACGCAATTTGAAACGCTGTACACTGCGGAAGCATCCTCTTAGAGTCCTCTCCCATGTGCTTTTGCTAGCATCCGCTGTAGTGTGACCTCTGAAGCTTTGCATCCATCATTCCAGTTGAGATGCGGTCCAACCATCTCACCTGCGTATCTCATATGTCTGCTGGCCGTCCCCCCAAGAGGAGGAACAGCAACGTAGCCTTGTTGAAATGGGTGACCTGGGCAGAGCCGGACTGCCAGTCACCAACAAATAAACCAAAAAAAGCATGCACAGCTGAGGAGATCAGTGTTGTCGCCATTGTCGTGGATCCACAAAAACCCAAATACGAAGCAGTACAGCAGCCCACAAGGTCTCTCCGAGGAAACAAGGCAATAGCGGTTACCAGTCGCTCTCAATTGATAAAGGTGTCATGAAGAAGTAATGATGATATCGGACATAAAAAAGGCATGGTGTAAGGCAGCGTATTGTTCAGGCACCTGCAGAGTGTCATCGTCCCTTATAGGTGCATGCAAAAACAATGCCACATTAGGAGCTCATCTGAATCCTGCAGCAGATTCTCAGCAATTCAGAGTCACACCCAAGCTCACTGCTCGCCGCAGAGACGAGCCATTGGGGCAGGCTTTGCACAGAGGCGCACTGAGCAGTCCAGTAGAGAGCAGCACTGGACTGCAAGTACAGCATCAGTCCCGGCGGCCACGTCCCCACCCCGCATTCCCAATCCCCACCCCGCACTTCCAATTCACACACCAAAAGGGCCTGCGCGGGGGTAAAGCTGAAGCTCAGGGGCAGTGAGAAGAAGTGCTTCTAGACGATGTGCATCAAAGTAGTGGATACCTGGAATGGCTATGATCTTTTTCTCGTGAGTAGCCATGAAAATAGAGCCTTGTTGCCACGTTGCCTATGCACTAGGACCGGAGCTCCATCGTAAGCAGCACAGATCCACAGGCCATCCGCTGCAATTTTTTTTTCCTCTGTTGCGGCCGATTTCGCTCTGAGGCTCGGTCCTAACAATGAGAGAAGCGGGTAAATAAAAGGCTAGCAATGTGAAACACCTTGGTTCCACAATTCAAGGCAAAACCAAAAAAACACAAACAAAAACCAAGCCAAACAGCGACGACTCGCAAATCTCCCGGCCAGATTTGCGTTTCGCCAGCAGGAAACACAACAAAACAACACAAAAGGGGCCGGAGCCGCAACCAAAACACCCACACCAGAAATACAGGATTGCCTTGGACACGGAGGGTAAACCCAACGTGTCATCGAAAAGTGCACAACGAAACAAATTAGTAAGTCTATGGCCCAAAAAGGGGTGAGAAGCTATACAATTGTGAAGATCAGCAACAAACTTGCGAAGTGCTATGTTAGGCTGTACAGCACGGCAGCCACCTCAGAGTCCTCTCAGACGTGCTCTTTCTATCTTCCAGAAGGTATAATCAACTTCGGGAGTTCTTGCAGTTGCCAAAAAGAGCTTGGGCGTACATTCCGCAGAAGGCTACAGGGATCCAAGGACTAGTTTTAGCTGTGTCGTCAGACCCACGTGGTTCAGTGAGTTGCTTGCAGCAGTGCCGTCGGGCCCAGGCAAATCCTCCGGCAGGGCCAAGCTGCCGGCACAAACCTGAGCGACCTCATGGACGAGCCGTCTCAGCGGGAAGAATCCATTTGCTGTGAGGGTGATCTGCAGACCGCGATGCAAACGCTGTGGAAACTTCCGGGCTGAGGCGTAGCTGAGATTTTTGAGCTACTATGAGTTGGTACCGTCTCACGCAGCAGGTGTGGCGATCATAGCAATGGCCAATGGTGGCCGGTCTTGCGATGTGAAAGGGGGTATCAAGTTCCCAGTCAAGAATTGCTGCAGCATCTATTGGGATACGCGTGGTGCCATGAAATTGTGCTTCTCTGCGCTTCAGGATATGATACCTGAAATGAAAAACAGAGGCCGCAGCTGCAAAAAACACAGACGATCAAACTGACAGGGCTGCTGCTTTTTGCGGAAATGTATTTTTTCGGTTGCGGCAACTTTTTGGGTTGCAAAGCTGGACTTTCTCTGACGCTGGTTTTTCTTGTCTCAGATGGGTTTTCCCCGCCTCGGACAATTTTTTCCCGCTGCCTCTAAATACATTTTTTCTGCAAAGGTGCTTTTGTGCTGGCTTGCAGAAGGTACCGCAACCTTCGAAACCTACTTGGGTCAGCGTCCAGGACGTCGTCCTTAACCCACTAAGACCGTCCACGCAACCAAGTCAACCACTCCCAGAGCTCAGCCACTTTTACACAACCACAAAACAAGGGTGTCTTGCTCATGTCGCTATGGTTCTTGTTGGTGTGTCACGCCTTGACACAAAATGATGCGGAGTCGCCAGTTGACATCTTTCTGTCAACTTCACAAAAGCGATCAAAAACACATGTCCTCACAAAAAGTCTTTACATCAAGACATGGTTTGTTTGTTTAAATAAGTTTGAGTGGTTGAAAACTGTTGAAACATTTCAAGCACCAAAACATGATTCATGATGTCTCCCTCAGATCTGTTGGCAACTCTGGTTCTGAATGCCTTTCAGAACGTTGCTCTCGCTATCATCATTGAGAGACAAAACAAACTAAACTTCTCCGATCAATGTCAAAGTTCCTTCTTCCGAAGTCACAAAATGAATTCTACGATCTTCTCACGATTCCTTCGTGCACTTCTGCCGGCAAAAACTAAAGCAAAACATATGGAAAATGGTTTGATTTTCCATGTCACTATACAAATTCAAATCCTCACTGTGTTCTCCGTGCAATCAAAGTACTCAAAGAAGACGAAAAGTATATCTTATATTAGAACAAACTCAGGCAAATATGTAAGGGGAAGCGCTACGCAGGATTATAGGACAACTTACACAAAACAAAACTTACGTAAACTGACGTACGCATATATACATATATCAATGGTACATATACGTATATGCGCCGCAAATGATATCTCGATACGCAACGAAACGTCGTGAAAATTTCGGACAGCGAAAACAATTGGAAAAACTCAAACTGATGGAACTTGAAAGTGAGCGCTCAAAGCATCCTTTTTACTCCTCTCGGCATGCTCAAAGTTGGTCTGGGGAGTTAACAGTTTTCTGTTCGGTCACCGAGCATGGCATATGACAGTTGTTTGGATCTGTCATGCCATTTAATAGTGTGAATCTCACAGCGGTGAGTTGTCACATATGTTGCTCAGTGATTTTCCCCCCCCAAAAGGGTTAAGGGAGGGTGGGCCGAAAGAAAAATTGGTTGTGGAAGAAAGGTTTTTTAAACCCTCTTCTACCTCATCCTTGATATGAAAAATGCAACAAGAACGAGAACTGATGATTGAGACCAAGGGAAGGTTGTGTTGTTTTGTTTTGGTTGTGCGAGTTGTCCATTTAAAAATTATTATTCAGAAAACGCATGCTGCGCAAGATGTGACCCTTATAAAAATTGTTTTGCCCTGAGTTGCAAAATTTGTTGTTAAAGAAATTTTGCACTGTTCTTACAAAGATTGTGCTCTCACTACGTGACAGCACTCATCTTATATTAGAACAAACTCAGGCAAATATGTAAGGGGAAGCGCTACGCAGGATTATAGGACAACTTACACAAAACAAAACTTACGTAAACTGACGTACGCATATATACATATATCAATGGTACATATACGTATATGCGCCGCAAATGATATCTCGATACGCAACGAAACGTCGTGAAAATTTCGGACAGCGAAAACAATTGGAAAAACTCAAACTGATGGAACTTGAAAGTGAGCGCTCAAAGCATCCTTTTTACTCCTCTCGGCATGCTCAAAGTTGGTCTGGGGAGTTAACAGTTTTCTGTTCGGTCACCGAGCATGGCATATGACAGTTGTTTGGATCTGTCATGCCATTTAATAGTGTGAATCTCACAGCGGTGAGTTGTCACATATGTTGCTCAGTGATTTTCCCCAGTTATTGTGAGCAGCATGTAAGGAGCTCTGTGAAGTTGCAGCAGAGCGTTGACCAGGTCAGCGGAAACGTTAACGATTCCACTGTCATTGAGGCAGTACCGTTCCATGGCTTCTTTCAAGCGGTTGCGAGAGTGCAAGTCCGCAAAAACCGACCGCAAAAATTCAGAAGTCCCTGGAGCTCACTCAACTTTGCTGCAGAATGTTTTTGTCTTTCGCCACCTTCTTTCGTGTGATCCCATCCAAGCAAGTCAAGCAAAGCGCTGAAAGCCAGTGTTAGGACCCGACAGCCATCCGACCTCTCACCCGTGAGGAAATCATCAAAAAATAGTGAGAAGTAATGGCAACGAAACACTTTTGTAAAACTGCCACTTCCCTCCACAGGGAAATCCAACTATGGCATGGGGTCAACGATCGGGTAGCACAGCCAGTTGCTCATAGGCTTTGCTGAGGTCAAAGGTACTGCCAAGCCATTCCAACGCGTCAGAGCTAGAAAGCCCAGCTGCACGCATAGCCCCAAGTACCATTGCAGTAGTGTAATCAACATCTTGCAATTGGAGCTTTACTCCCGATGGGCACGCCGAATTGACTGCTCTCTGCTTTGCATCATCTATGACCCTCACCTTTGGATTCACTCCTTGAATCAGGACGAAGCGCGGGTTCAATGACCAACAATCGGTCCCAATCAGGACTGATATTTCAGCTGCAGAACATGGACCCTGCAAAAAGCCTTTCTCAACTTCAGAAGCAGTTGCGTCCAACAATGCATCTTCCTCACTCTTGGATGGCAGTCTGTCAGTTTGCATTATGCAGGTTCTACGCCATCTAGCCGAAGCCGTCAGCTCGTCTTCTGTCATGTTGGCCGGCACCAACCTTCGTTGGTATTCAGTCGGAGGTTCTTGCAAGCCAACCAAAGGAACTCCGAATTTCGGAAGGTCAGCGACCTCCAGGCCCCAGTAGTCCAGTTGCGTTAGAAGCTTCTCGAACAGCAGTGCGTTCTATTGTTGACACACCGGCTAACGACTGGGTGCACGCTCGCTTTGAGCCCCTTCTCATGCAACTTGAGGTCCATGGGCAGTTTCTTAACATGAAAAACAGTTGATAAACGATCTCTGGGTGCAAGCTCGCTTTGAGTTCCTTCTCATACAGCTTGAGGTCCATAGACAGTTACTCAACATGAAAAACGGTTGGCAAACGATCTTTGGCCAGCTTTGTCGAGCAAGTTCCAACCACCTGTACGATGGCGTCTTTTGTAATTTGATGCAGAATCTTTGGCCAGCTTCGTCGAGCAAGTTCCAACGACCTGCACGATGGCGTCTTTTGTAATTTGATGCTGCAAAGAATCTTGGTCGATAGGGTGTTTTGCCTCCTGAGCTCTCTTGAGAAACTCTTCCGGTTCATGCCAAACGCCAAACTTGCCAAACGCCATACTTGAAAGTAGTTCTGGGCCTTTTGACGGGCCTTGATTCAAGATCCTGCTGCTGCTCAGTGTTGGTTTCCCCATGATATGGTGGAGCAGCCAGCAACTTGTGGGAAAAGTCATTGAGGTGTAAAACTCCTCGTAATCAGGCACCAGTGGGGTGAATCTAATACTTTGTTGACTTAAGCCCCAAACGGAGAATTTTGAACCTTAAAGATGGTGTCTGATGGTCACCCATGTGAGCTGATGCCTCCAGTACGTAATCTGCCATGCGCTTGCATAAGGTGTTTGGATATTCTGCCTCTGCTGCTGCGGGAAATGTGACACCCTGCTCGCTCTTGTAAGGTTGCCGTGACGCATGCACATGGTTTTGGGGGCAGTGGGCCGCCAATGATGTGAAGACGCCCTGAGTCGCCAGCAATTTGGTTCTTTTGTCTCTCAAACTACCATGGGCACATGCGTCGAAGTAGATGCTCTCCAAATTGGCAAACAATGAAATGAATGGTTGAGTGTTGGTATCTTTTACCAAAAACGGCAAGAAGCGCCCAAAGCCAAGGCCGAGGGTTTTCATTGAAACCAAGCGTCCCTCCATCATTCAAAATTGCAAAATTTTGATGGCTGAATTGTACAGTTTATGTGCAAGGTTAACCTTGGTTTTGTCAACACCCGTTAGGTGGGAAAAGCCCTTAAGATGCTCAGCACTGCGCCAAGGTTGCAGTCCCATATGACCTCCAAGTTTGAACGGCATAGGTTTCTCTCTGGCTCAGGAACATGTACCACGAAGGAGGCCCAAATGGACGTGACACGGCTTGCAGTGATGCGGCATTGTTTCGAGCAGCATCAACTGGTCTGAATTCGAAACATCCAGAACAAAGACTTTGACCTTAGGTAAATGCCTATTTGCTGAATGATCAACCTAGGGGTAAACATGAAGTCTGGGGCGCCTTGATGCGTCCGACAATCCTGCTGAGCCACAACAGATTTCAAACGTTGTGGGTTCCAAAGTGAAACTGTTATTGCTGGGCACCTTACCAAGTCAGTGGGGGCACTCGTTGCCCGGGTGAAGTTTGTGACATGACTTCTTCCAGCATACGTGGTACCCAACCATGCAACGTTTTCCAGGTTTGATCTTTGCAGTGCAACGCCCAACCTGCCATCGTTTGCAGAGCTGCTTTCCATCTACGAAAATCTCACAATCCTCAGGGACAGCGATACCTGTGTTGCTCTTGCCTTTGCCCTTGGAGGATTTTCCTTTTCCATCACCATGATTTTTACTTTTGCCCTTTCCACCAGAGAACGTTGAGGACGTATCCTGTTTGTGAGCCCCCACACTTTGAAGCGGTGTCAAATGCTGCAAGACTTCTGGATGCTCTGCGAATTTGTCGAAGGACACATCGAAGGGTTTGTCTGCTCCGGTCTTCGGCTGTAGTCGGCCACGGGTATCGTTAGATACTTTGACCCACAAAGCCTTGTCAGCGTTGATCACTTGCTCAACACTTATGTGCCTGTAGTCTGAAAGCGGGGCTTCATTCATCTTTTCAAAAAGTTTCTGCGTCCACAAGTCAAGCACAGCAAAGGTGGCTATGCCAGCTAAGTCATAAGCCAGTGACCTCCTCAAAAACGCTTGTCGCAGCTTGTGCTCCCCTGTTACATTCACATCTTCAAGACGTTGCTTCTTGCTGAGTCGCAAGCCTCCTGCATTGTCAAGCGCCAACGAGGTATCGATCTTGGAGTGCAAGGCTTCGTCATGCCTGGACGAACATCGATTGAGCTCAATGTATGTAATCACATTGTCTTCCAACTGTTGACAAACTCTATCTATGAGGGAGTGAGACGGTTCGCTCTGCGGCGTGAAACTCAGTCCTGTCAGATTTTGTTTCTGCAAACGTATTCGATCCATTTTCTCAGCAAATGGAATGATCCTTGCCTCACTTGACTCCGACCTGTCGGCCCGGGACTGAAGGTCCTCCAAAGACAGCGCATGTGCCTCGAAAAACAGTCGCCTGAAACGAGTTGTTGAAGACGCTGAAGGTGCATTTCCAAACGTATTGGTCAAAAATGTTATCAGTGCAGTGTCATCATTCTGACCAGGTTGGTAAGTGCTGCAATATGCGTATGTCGCATAACTATTGATACCTGCAGTCTCAAGCGCGTCAACCTCTGTCTGATCAATTCCCAGCTCCAACGCTCGGTTTTGAAACGCAACTTTAGAATCTATGGCCATGTGCCGTCACAAGCCGTGGAAGTGTACAAAGAAATATTAGTCAACTTGATATACTTCCAGTTGGTTAATTCCAGTTTGATATTTCACAAAACCTCAAAACGATGTCTGTAAAGCTGGTGTGAAATACGAGGCTTCACGAGGTTTTGTAGCAGCTGATTTCTGAATCATGTTGCTGATGAGCCAATGGATGCATCACGAAGTTGAATGAGCTTTTGACACTTGGTTATGATTCCTCTGCCGCACGAGAGCATGCTAGGCATTGGGTCCCAAGTGGTTTCTGCTATCCAGACTTGCGTGATTTCCGTGGCTATCAACATGATGCAAACTAAAAATCAGAAAATAAGGAAACCTTGGATGAGCAAATCAAGTGTATGTTAAAGGCAATCAAGCTTGCTCACCAACCCCCTGCGAGAACATGAACATCTTTTATACTTCGACAGCAAGAACTGTCAGGTCTACTTGTGCTCCAGCGCCGACATGTCACCAAATTGGCATCGGCAGAAAGCAAAGTTGAACTCGAAGGTCTCTCCTTGCAGCACGGTACGCGTGGGAGCAGCTTGCGCAAACCACAACTTCAGGAGTGGATATATCATCCCGCGGGGCCCTGCTAAAAGAAGCTGACGGGCTCCTGCCACACCAGAATTTCTCGTCCTCTCCAGCAAGCAGGTGAGCCACCTTTGAGCTCTTGTTGACCCAATATTGGTCTGCCTCGATGTCGTCAGCCTCCAAACGCCTGTACGTGGTCTTTTGCCCCAAGCTGGTGTGCTCTCCATTTGACGAAGCCGCTGAGGATGCATCATCTGAATCGCTGGAACTGCTGTCACTGCTTTCATCATTTCTTCCAAGGGCTGTTTCAAGGGCCAGCTGAAACAAGCGGCCGACCCTGGTCGCATCGGGGTCAAATGTGCCATCCCTGATGCTTGTGAACATGGAGTTAACCTTGTTGTACAAATCAATTTGGTTGTCCCTTGAATGGATCATAGCTGATCTGTATGGGGCGTTCACATGATGACCCAAAGCCAGCTGTTCATCCGCTGTGAAAAGGGTGCTTTTGGTCGCCCATCTCAACAAGGTTGCTTTCAATCCATGCAATGTCAGGGACGATGCTCTGTCACTTCCAACTCGGGGATCCAACAACTCACTAAGCCACTCCGTTGCCTCTGCCGTGGACACGCAAGAATCTGTCCAAGTTTGCTCGCTCCCAGACCAGGAATTCAAGAAGTAATTCCAAGACCTCACATCAGCAGCATCTCGCGACTTCATCCAGCTGTCGCCCCATGAGTCTTCAATTGTAACATGGCCCAACGCAGTAAAAGGCAGAAGCTCCGTTTGCTGCTCCTTTCCACGCGACGATTGGTGCTTGGAAGTCATTGCCTCAAGAAGGGCGACAGGACCTGAGGTTGATATATCCATTGAAATGACATACATTGAATCGTGCCATCTTGCCGTGGCAGTGAAGCAAAACATCAAATGTCCAGCAATCAATCGACGATGCAAATCAGGGTCATTCAGGCATATGTCTTCAAGTGCAGCTGTCTCGGCTACTTTCAGCACCTCAGCAGGTTTCCCGAACCTTTTAGTCATGTTGCAAGCATGTGTTGCTCCTGTCACCCTTGGGCTGAGCATGTTTGTCAGTGACGAAGATGCAAACCCAATAAAAGCGTTTGCAAATCTCAAAGCGTCCACAAACCGTGAAGGTGTTGTAGGGCCTGCGCCTAGATCCCTCAAACAACTGATGTAAGAGTAGACAACCCTCTCATCTGGTTTGAATGGTGAACCGCCTCCAAGTGTCTGAAGCCAGCATGAAAAACGCCACAAAGCATTGCGCCTCTTCAGGATCATACCTGTGGCCTTCGGCGAGAAAACGTCCATGAAGACCTGAGACAATTCTGAACCTGAGCAAAGGGTGCCCGCAAAGCTCCTCCAAGGCAGCCCAAGACGAGTGCAGTCAAGGTCTAACAGAACCATTCTTTTAAACTCGGCAAGTGCAACATGTCGAAAGTTGTCTGTTGATGACATCAAAAGTGATGACTTGATGCACTGTACAGTAAGTTCGGTGTGTTGAATTTGCATGGGCACCGCACTGTCTGTCGAGCTTGCCGCGATGTGATCAGCAATTCCAACTAACGGCAACTGTTGAAATGACTGCAATCGATCCCAAAACGGTTTCGGCCTGGAAAACAAACATGTTAAATGTCCCTTCTGCCAAGGCTGTTTCAAGTCTGATGTCGACTTGTGCACATGTCTTGATGCCAACTCATCTGCAATGCATTTGACTGCTAAGCTCTCAGCTGACAAAGATGCAGGTTTGGTGGCAACAGACTTAGGCTTCGGGTGTATGAAACGTGGCTCCTGTAAAGGCAAAACATCAAGTCTATCCAGGGCTTCCATCGATGAATCCAAAGTGTCAGTGTTATCAAACTTGCCAAACAAATTTTCAGTGTCAGGTGATTCAACTTGCTCCCAACTGCTATCGGGATCTGTAGTAGGGCCCGCGCTGTCAACGTCTTGCAAATCACTGACAGACACGGCAGCGGCACTGATAATCCATCTACTGCGAAAACCTTTGTGTTCCACAACCATGTTATCCCCAGCTGTGTTCCAAGCAGCGATGCCTACAGTGAGGTGTGTGATTATGACGACACCACTGATGGCACCCAGGCACAGCGCAGCCATAGCTACAAGTAGGTCCTGTACCACTTGCCGCAGACTGATCAACCTCTGCTTGACCTGCCTCCGGGTCTGATGTCTGACCGGGCCCAGGCGTGAGAGTGATAGGAACACCAAGTCGACGTGCAACTTCGCTAAGGATCAAAAACAACAGCGAGATGATGTGGTGATTGGTAAGGGCAGCAATCTGTCTCGTGTCCATTGACCCCCTAACGCCGAAAGAAAAATTGGTTGTGGAAGAAAGGTTTTTTAAACCCTCCTCTACCTCACCCTTGATATGAAAAATGCAACAAGAACGAGAACTGATGATTGAGACCAAGGGAAGGTTGTGTTGTTTTGTTTTGGTTGTGCGAGTTGTCCATTTAAAAATTATTATTCAGAAAACGCATGCTGCGCAAGATGTGACCCTTATAAAAATTGTTTTGCCCTGAGTTGCAAAATTTGTTGTTAAAGAAATTTTGCACTGTTCTTACAAAGATTGTGCTCTCACTACGTGACAGCACTCATCGTTGTTGGGTTTCGTCATCTCCAATAAAACGTGCAGAACATGAAACGTGCAAATACAATGTCAACCATCACGGTTGAGCTCACCATCAAGGTGAAAGCCAAATTCACTTCTTCCAATACAGAAAATACCAAATGGATTCATCTCACCACAGATGTCAAATTTTCACACCCCCTTTTGAGATGAACTCCATTCCATAGGTATACGGTGTAACCCATCCAGACTTCAGCACATATCGCCCAAGCTCGAAAGGCCAATACATAAGGGTGCCCTTAGCCGAAGGGCTACATAGTGACCACTCATCCAGTTCGACAATCCTGCAAACTACAGTTGTCCACATAGAATGAGATCCTGTATAGATCCAACCACCATCACAGTGTCATCAATCACAAAACTCTCGAAGCAAGGTAGTTCCTGCATAAAATGGCACATTAGCCGCTTTGCAGTCCACCAAGTCTCGGGCCTTAATGTACCTGGACCAATCCCAGGCAGGACCCTTCGCTGAGTCTTTGGTCAAATGTTTTCGACACCATGAAACATAGCTGGGGTCTTCCTCGAAGACAGTCTTGTAACTCTTCTTTTCTTCCTTATACTTTCCAAATGCAAACTTGGTCTTTCCCCACATAGCCATATTTGTAATACCAGCTGGAAGCAAGGCCTTTGTGGCCAAATCTTCGGTGCCTCCCACGGGCTCCATGAAACTACTTCCAACCACCCAATCTGGCTCTGTGTCGACCTCAAACTCTGCATCTTCAAATCTGCGCTTTGAAGCATCGGTCATTGCGCCACTAGATTCAGTTGTCGGCAATGGCATCTGAGAAGTACGACGCTGTGCCAACTGTTGAAACATCTTCTCATCCTCAATGCTCCAATTGGATGACGCCATGGCTGCAAAATCAAACCGCGTCCGGTAGTGAAAAAGCACTAGACCGTGGCCAAACTCTTAGGAGCAATCAACCTAGAACGTGAGACGAAGTGTCGAACCGCCATCACTTTCGTGATAGGCACAGTGACCTTTCATATTGTTCTGCGCTGCGCACACCGCATCTTACAGCATCGCGCAACAAAACTCTGCACAAAATGCAACACAGTGAAAACTCCTGTTTGTCTTTGGCAACGTTTATTTGAAACAACATGCAAAACAGAAAAAATGAAACGTGACGTCAGCTTCTGTCTTTCTCTCACAGTGTCCCCCTTTCAAACGCAAATTCAACTCTTCTTCGAAGCATGTTTGACCGCAATCAAAATGTATCTTGCCAACTTTCGGTCGTAAAACGCTGTCTCAGCATAGTTGATTTGATAAAGTTCTGCGTGTGTCTGACATGTACATGTAGAAAGTTTGGAGTGGAGATTTAATGCAAACCAAGCCGGATTTGAAACGAACTTCAATGTCTTTCCAATCGGAATACCATCCTTGTTCTGACATCCAGTCTTGCACAACCTCACCAAAGCCTCATGCCTCATGTCAAAACTTTCCAAAAGATTCACTGTCTCAGGTCGGGACCAAATGGTATTTCGTTCTGGAAGCTCAAACGAACATGAGTCTGCATGTTTGAAGTAACCACCAATCGCGTTGATGATCTCATCCCATTCCTGGTCCTTTCCAGTGACTGAGTCCGGATTGAAATTGCGAAGCGGACTTCCACTTCCACAAGGAGTCGATGCATGAATATGCACCCAAGGTGGACATGACGAGTTCTTCCACTGTCGAATGCAAACAGCTACACGACTCAACGTTCCAGAACTCTGCACCTTAGCAACTACACCAATGTATGGGACCTTTGAAACTTCACAAACCTTTCTCAAGTTCGAATGTTCCGAACAACACAGTTCCACAATCGCAATTGAAGAACCCTGAGTCAACACTTGCTGCAACACACACAGCTCACGAAGTTCTGCTAACTCAGCTGTCAAACCATCTGGAACAACAATCCCAAGAGCATACCGGTGCTTATAGAAAGCTTTAGCACTCAAGCATTTAGTGAAAAGATCTGCTGGATTTTCAACACCACTTCTGTGTCTCAATTTCAACAAACCCTCTCTCATCTGCTCTCGTAACCCATGCAATCTTATCTCAATATGTCGCGAACGTCGTGGCACGTCCATGGATCTCACAAGTTGCAATGCGGAGCTTGAATCGCTCTCCAGCCAAATCACAGCTTCTTCTGGCTCATCGATCTCATGAAGTGCAAAAAGAAGACGGTGAACCAGTCTTCCAAACGCAACACTTTCTTGACACACTGATTGCAAACCATAGAGCTCTGCCTCACATGAACTCAGACTCAAAGCTTGTTGCTGTCGGCTCAGAGACCTTACCAAAGACCTCTCAAAGAAAACAGCTCCACCGCTAACACCTTTGCGGTTGTTGAAACGATACGGCGCATGTGAAGCATCGCTGAAAGAGTGGAGATGGACTGATCTCAGTTGAGCATCGTCAACCTGACTCATGATGGTCTCATCTCTGCTCGGTAGACACAAGCATGCATGCATGTCAACATACAAGAATCTCAAGACTGCTTTCAATGCTTGTTCAGTTCCGTGCATCGGTTTCGCTTGCTGCGTCCCAAGAACAGACATCCATGTTTTCAAGTCATGACGCACCTGTGACAACCAAAGCAATTTTCCCAACGCCTTCCTGAAGCGTGAGTATGCTTCATCTGACAAAGGTTTCTGAAAGTTGCTATCCGTGAGTGTTTTCTCAAGATGTCCCGAAATGTCAGGAACATTCTCAGACCCACGGGTAACGCCATAATCCAGAAACGTAGAGTCAAGATAATGTGGATCGACACCCAGAGTGATCTCAGAGGAATCTCTTTCTCTTTTGATAACACGACCAATAAAGGTCAGGGATCCTCCCTCTTCTCCGATCTCTCCAGTTGTCTTCACAGGCACTACAGGCGACAAAGTTGCAACCACATGTTCCTCGGCTTCCTTAGTGGTCGACAACAACAAGATGTCATCAACATACACAACACACAAACAAAACCCAATCTCATGACCATCTTTCACAATCTGTCCACCATACACACATGGTTCCAACGAATCCGACCAAAGCCCTACATGTTCAACCGTAAATGTCAAAAGCTGCAACCATGCCAGTGAAGCATCACGTAACCCGTTCAATGCCTTTTCAAGCAAATAGTAGGTCGCTTCACCTGATGGAAAGCTAATCGACAACGGCATTTTCAAGACAACATGTACACCAGTTCCCAATGGGCTATGCATGAAGGCATGACTCACGTCCAATTATTCACTAAGGAAACCGCTGTTCTTTGCAAGATCTCTGCGCAAGTCGTCGACGTCGACGTAAAAATTAAAACATAAAAACATAACGAAAACGTCAGCACTCGAGAAAACAAGGTTGAAAAGTCACTCCACAAACAGCCGCACCTTTTTCCTGAGCAGTTGGGGAGAGATCAGTGCGCCCGTGCTCTCCCCATATTGGAAGAGCGCACTAACGAAGGTTCTCAAGAATTTGTTCCAGTCTACCTTCACTTCTCTGGACCCCAACTGTGTTACATCGGTGCAATCCAAACGGTAGGATCCGTCTGAAATATTGGAGTGGCTTGGTACCCTGGCATACCAGGACTTCAACCGCAAAGTGCTTTCGCTTTCCATTATGTTTTGGACAAGCAGGTTTCCAAGCTGCGTGCCTCCACAACCTTTGCACAAGGCTGCCCTGGCTGCATCATTGTCAAGGTAAAACACTGCATGGGTCGAGCTTAAAAAGGTTCCCCACATACTGATGGCTATGTGGATCGGCATAAGCTCGGGCTCGTAAATTTGGTTAGACGACTCAGCCAACGCTCTTGTCATGAACTCGAAAGGGACTATGCTCGAAAAGTGTCGTAGGCATCGTCCGGTCCTGTCAACAATGACTCCACCGACACTACCCTGCTTTTCGTTCTCACCTTCACACGCCCCTTCAGTGAAAGCAAGTAAAGTATCCAGACAAACCGGGCTGAGGGTTAAGGCCTCTGCTTCTGAAACCCTTCGGGCGATAAACTCTAAAGCAGCACGCTCGTGGCTAGAAAAGGAGACATACCTTGGTTTTCCAGAGAGATTTCCCCAAGGACCCTAAGGCTATGCTGAGCTATGCGGCCAAAGGCGTAGCTCTCAAACCATTGCATGCGTCTCCTCAAACGCACGCGTTCTTGGGTGCTAAGCCACCTTCATGTAAAACTTCCTAACGAGCTGCTCTGCGTTTCTCCCGCCTCTCATCCGCGTGCCTTATGGAAAACAACCTGTGCACTGCCGAGCTTTACTAACAGACCCAAGGTCTTAAAGCAAGGTCCAAACTCCATGGCTTTCGACCCTTCCTTTGCATACCACATGCCAAACAAGTCGAACATGGCTTCAGCGGCAAGTCCTGTGCTTCAGCTCAACTTCTTTTTGGTAAATGACAGTGAAGTCATCGTAGAGAAACCGTTCAACACAACTTCAAGCCCACTGTCCCTATGTACCACAGAGCCATGCTGATGCGCCAGACACAAATCACTGA